GGCTTCTATTTTCAACATTTATTTATCAATAATGTGTTGATTACCAAATAAAATTTATCATAAAAGGATCGATTTAAAAAAAAAATTCTTTACTCACTTATTTGTACCGAACATGAATTCGACTTGAAACTCAATCTTAAAGGATTGTTTATCAGAATTAAGCTGCTGTAGATGCTTTATTATTTCTTTCTTGAGTTGTTGAAGTTGATTTGTTGATATTTGACCAAATATCCTGAATGTTTGTTTTCTACTTCCTCCAGGGGAACGAACAGTGGTTATCTCCCTCAATGTAGTAGTTGAATGTGAAGTGGTTTTTGTTTGGATATTGACTGTGCTTGGTGAAATTGTTGATCTAGTGATTTTAGAAGTCGTTGTTGTTAGTGTTGGTGAAATAGTCACTGTTTTTGTTTTTAGCTTAGAGGACATTGCTGCTGGTTGGGGTGTTAGTGATATTGTCGTCATAGTGTTGTTGTTGGTTTTGTTGGTGTAGAAGATTGTTGTTGGGTTTTTAGGTGTGGAAGTTCTTGTTGATTTTTGTTGGCTGTGGTGTGGTTGGTGTTGTTATTTGTTTTGTGTGGTTGTTGTTTTTGGCTGTGGTGTGGAAGTGGTTGTTAATTGGTTTTATTTTGGTTTATTGTTGTTTGTTTTGGATGTTGGTGAAGTTGCTGTTGTTGATTTTGGTGTGGTACGTCGTTATTGTTGTTGCTTTTGGGGTATAGTTGTTGAGTGTTTTGGTGTGGAAGTTGTTGTTGGTTTTATCGTGGTAGTTATTGTTGTTTTTTTTGCTGTGGAAGTCTGTTGTTGATTTTGTTGAAGTAGTTGCTTGTTGCTTTTGTGTAATAGTTGTTGTTGTTTTGGTGTGGAAGTGGTTGTTGTTGGTTTTGGTATGGTAATTTTTGTTGGTTTTGGTGTGGTAGTCGTTGCTGATATTTTTTGGTGTGGTAGTTGTTTTTGTTGGTTTTGATGTGGTGGAAGTGGTTGTTTTTGGCGAAGAAGTGTTTGGTTTTGGCCTGAAAGTTGTAGTTTTTCGTGTAGTAGTGGTTGGTTGTTGTGTGGTAGTGGTTGGTTCTGGTGTGGTAGTGGTTGGATCTGGTGTGGTAGGGGTTGGTTCGGGTGTTGTAGTGGTCGGTTTGGATGTTGTAGGGGTTGGTTCGGGTGTGGTAGTTGTTGGTTGTGGTGTGGTAGTGGTTGGTTCTGGTATTGTAGTGATTGGTTCTGGTGTGGTAGGGGTTGGTTTTGGCGTGTAACTTGAAGTTTTTCGTGTTGAAGTGGTTGGTTTTGTCGTGGAAGTTATTGGTTTTTGTTGGGTGGTGATAGCTTTTGGTGTGGTAGTTGTTGGTTCTGGTGTGGAAGTGGTTGCTTCGAGTGTTGTAGTTGTTGGTTGTGGTGTGGTAGTGGTTGGTTGTGGTGTGGTACTGGTTGGTTGTGGTGTGTTGGTTGGTTGTGGTGTGGTAGTTGTTGGTTGTTTTGGTAGTGTTGGTTCTGGAGTTAGTTGTTGGTTTTGGTGTGGTAGTTGTTGGTTCTGGTGTGGTAGTGGTTGGTTCTGGTATTGTAGTGGTTGGTTGTGGTGTGGTAGCTGTTGGTTGTGGTGTGGTACTGGTTGGTTGTGGTGTGGAAGTGGTTGATTGTGGTGTGGAAGTGGTTGGTTGTGGTATGGTAGTGGTTGGTTGTGGTGTGGAAGTGGTTGATTCTGGAGTGGTAGCGGTTGGTTGTGGTGTGGTAGTGGTTGGTTGTGGTGTGGTTGTGGTTGGTTGTGGTGTGGTAGTTGTTGGTTGTGGTGTGGTAGTGGTTGGTTCTGGAGTGGTAGTTGTTGGTTCTGGTGTGGTAGTTGTTGGTTCTGGTGTGGTAGTGGTTGGTTCTGGTATTGTAGTAGTTGGTTGTGGTGTGGTAGTTGTTGGTTGTGGTGTGGTACTGGTTGGTTGTGGTGTGGAAGTGGTTTGTTGTGGTGTGGTAGTTGTTGGTTGTGGTGTTGTAGTTGTTAGTTGTGGTGTGGTAGTGGTTGGTTCTGAAGTGGTAGTTGTTGGTTCTGGTGTGGTAGTTGTTGGTTCTGGTGTGGTAGTGGTTGGTTGTGGTGTGGTAGTTGTTGGTTGTGGTGTGGAAGTGGTTGATTCTGGCGTGGTAATTGTTGGTTGTGGTGTGGTAGTTGTTGGTTGTGGTGTGGTAGTTGTTGGTTGTGGTGTGGTAGTGGTTGGTTCTGAAGTGGTAGTTGTTGGTTCTGGTGTGGTAGTTGTTGGTTCTGGTGTGGTAGTGGTTGGTTGTGGTGTGGTAGTTGTTGGTTGTGGTGTGGAAGTGGTTGGTTGTGGTGTGGTAGTTGTTGGTTGTGGTGTGGTAGTGGTTGGTTGTGGTGTGGAAGTGGTTGATTCTGGCGTGGTAATTGTTGGTTGTGGTGTGGTAGTTGTTGGTTGTGGTGTGGTAGTGGTTGGTTCTGGCGTGGTGGTGGTTGATTTTGGTGTGGTAGTGGTTGGTTTCGGTGCAGAAGTCATTGGTTTATGCGTGGTAGTGGCTACTGTTGTTGTTTTTTGCTTATCACACCCTGGACCAAAAGAGTTTTCCGAGCACGAAACTGTCAGTTGTAATTTTATCCTAGATAATGAAAAACTGATGTTTTAAGTATTGTAAATACGAGGGTTGTCCGGTAAAATGGTGGGTAAAGTGTTTTTCTTATTAATGAGCCCTTTAATCTCAGATTTTTAGCAATAATTTATCTATCAGATTTAAGTATATCTTTCAAATATTTTTTGGATAAAACATAATCAAGTTTTTTATTATTTATTATTCTTAAATGTGCACAGGATACGTCCTACTACGCACGAAAAAAATCCCAGGGTTTCATTAGAGAATACACGAGTTTATTTCGAAATAAAAGTATTAAATGCATAAAATTGGAGTAAAAAATCTATTTTGGGGTCTTTTTGAAAATTTCAAGGGATTTGCCTAATTTTTTTTTTTCAATTTCCCGAGCATCCGAAATGGGAAAGTGCACACATCACACAAAAATGGCGACGTTTGATGATGTTACGGTGCACCAGGGAGTAGTTCAATTTGATATGGATGTAGTAATAATACCCTAAGAGACTTTAGATAAATACTAAAGTTCTACAATAATATAAAAAAGATGTCAAGAGATTTTTAGTATACCAGCAAAATGAGATTTTTAAAGTCATTTTTAAGTGGGACTTATCCAACTTTTTTTTTTAGCAAAGAGGAAAAGTGAAGCTGCTTTAGACACTTTAACGTTATCATCCGTGCGCCGTAAGGCGTTACATCACATAGCATAAAACCTCATAATTATTTTATTTATACATATATTTATTTGAAATCTGATATGATATTGATGAAAAATGTTCTACAGAATAGAAGGCAGTGATGATTATATTTCACCATAGACAATTTGTCCACGATTTTACCGTACAACCCTCGTACATGTATTTAAAAAAGAATTAATTCGCAAGTGAATTAAGGCTAAATATAAGCTTTTCAATGCAAATGAGCTAATAAAAATGCATAAATTGTATACTTTATGTACGGAGAAAGTTCAAATTTATTTTCTTATACATACTTAGTACCCACAGTATTTTAATGCAAGTGCAAATTATGACGTCGTATTATGACGTAATTGTTCTTTCCCATTCAAGGTAATAAAATACATCAACAAAGCAACGTCGTCGCAAGGGCATATCCTATTCAATTTAGAATAAATAATGTATAATATCAAGAAGAACATTCTTAAAATTAATAAAAATGCTGCACAAATCCTATTCACTTTTTCAACTGGTAAAAATTTTAGGAAACTTACACTGTTTATTTTAATATTAATGTAGAAAATAAAGTGGAAAATTTGAGGAAAGGAACCACTAGTTTTAAGTGATTTTCATAAAAGGAAACTATATTGTAATTTCTGATGTTACAGTTTCCATGCATATTTCAAATTTGAGTAGCCTGGATTTTTCCTAAATTAACGGTAAAATATTGCGATTATTGCAACAATTATTTTCAACTGGTGTAGGTCAGACTAAAACGTATATTTAACAGAAAATTTCTAGTATCTTTCAAAGTTAAACCGCGCGATGCATAGTGGAAAATCTTGAATTTTTTAAAAACATGTATTTGACCGAGATTTCATCAAAGATTCGTAACAAAAATTAAGTGATATAATTGATATATTTTTGACTGATTTTGATTGATTGTTATTCCTGCTTTACGCCGAGTCGGCAATATGTCAGCCATATTTCGGCGGTTGATTAATTTTAATAGAATTTGACATTAATAATACATCGCTAAAATATCAAGAAATCGTAAATTGTCTTTGTTTCCCGAATATGCAACTTTGTAAATGTTTATATATATATATATATATATATATATATATATATATATATATATATATATATATATATATATATATATATATATATATATATATATATATATATATATATATATATATATATATATATATATATATATATATATATATATATATATATATATATATATATATATATATATATATATATATATATATATATATATATATATATATATATATATATATATATATATATATATATATATATATATATATATATATATATATATATATATATATATATATATATATATATATATATATATATATATCGGGTACATGTAGTTCTATACATTTCAAACGTTGCGAAGTTACAAAGTTCTCCCACTTTGCTTTATGAACATTATTTAGGTTACTTATTTGACTATAAATCCATGAAAAAATGTTGCTGATTTCCGAAGAAAAAAAGGTTATGTTATATATCTTTCGTTTCTCACCATAAGTTCTTTTCTCCAGGTGTTGTGGTGACTGTCAATCCTGTAGCTGTATTTCCTCTGTACACGTAACTTGTCACTTTAAGATCATCATTGCCACCGACAGAATCGAAGTCGTAAGCATGGAATGATATTTGAAATGAAGGCTGAAAACAAGAAGAGTCAAATGAGAAATTACATTTTTGGTTGCTAAACATCATTCATTACATTCAAATACACCTAGTCTAACAAAATATACTTGTCCACCGATTTTCCTCCATGTGTAGGAATCAGCTTCCTTCAAAGAGTTGGCAAATAAAAAGTGATGTGTGTCATCAACTCGCTGATTTTTATCATTACCATAGCACACCTGGCTTAAATAGTAACAGAAAAGAAGAAAAATCATGTATCGATAAAGCAAGCATTGGCTGAATAGTGCACAACATTGATTTAATTTTTTACAGAAGCATTCTTATGAAAGATTTGTTAATTTGTGAATATGCAAGGTTAGTATAACTAAAATAGATGTTGATCATCCCAAATCAACCCAAATTTGTTATAAGATGAGAGAGATAGGGAGAAAGACTAACCTTTGTGTCGGTAATAAAGGTTGCAGACAAACTTGAAAATAAACGTCACACTCGTGGCATTGCCAGAAAGCTCTTAAATCACAATCACAGTCCTGGTCTCTGTTGTACTCCAGTAACTTCATTGACACTTCATAGTCTCCGACTACTAACTGTAAGTACAGGTCAAAATCATCTAACCATGTACATTTTAATCACACAACAGAAAACAACTACTGATAGCAGATATTCTTTCTGTGATAAAGATCCCCGAAAAAAAGTGTATATGACATGATATGTATCTTATTTAAGGCAATGTGAGCTGCAACTTCGATGTCAGAATATTTTGGTGCAAAATTGTAAATAACTCCTTCAATGACAGAAAAAATAACGTTAATAAACTTCTGTTGTAATATTTGTGATGGAAGAACTATGTATAAGCTTCGATTGAATCAAAATTGCATTATGTCGTCCTGTACAATAATGATTTATATGACTTTTCCATTCAATGAAGCTCAATATACAGTATTATTTTGTCTTAATATTTAAAAAAGCTTTAAAATGCATAGTTGGCTACCTAACATTTGTCAAATTAGAGGTCGTATAATATTAATTTAATTCTTTTATATCATGATGCGTATATTAAACTATTTCCTACCATCTAGGGTGTCTTCAAAAATCATATATTAAAAAACTTATTGGGATTTAATTCTATACAAGACTTGAAAAATGTTCAATGCAGCAACTAGGTTATGTTCAGAAACAATACAAATAAGATTTTTTTTATAAATACAATCTATCTTCTGTAGGGGTCAGTTCAGGTGCTTATGTTTTATTTTACTTCATTTGGCATGTGCACATATGATAAAAAAAATTTCAATGAATAATAATTATTATTTAAAATTTCGTGTACTTTTTACAAAGTTAACATTTAGGAATTTGCAGCTGTAAGTGACATTAAAAGAGAATCACAGATATTGGTAATAAATCTGCAAAATGTCAATATAGTTTATTATATAATATCATTGTTATTTATATTTTTTGAGAAAGCTTTGAACTACTATACTTCATACATATAAAGAAGTTATATAAAAAATAATGTTTCTCCTTAAGTTTAAAAATGCAATAGACCATCGAAAAAATGTTAATGTGTAGGGCAGAAGTTATTGTATTCACTAATCTAAACCAAGTTCTGTCTAATTATCTGTTAGAATGATATCGGAACAGTAGACTAAAATATGAATAAATTTTACAAAAATAGCAGATTGGAATAATTTAACTAATATGAATTTAACCATCTTAAAATTTACAGTGTTACTTTTCTTCATGATAATGTATTTTCACCATGATTTTTTTATTACACCTGTAGTTTACACTTAATTCACCTTTCAAGGGAAGTTACAAATATCAATCAGACCACTCCATATCTAAGATAATGAAGGGAATGACCTTACGCTGGACATGAGAATTTTCTTTTCTTAATCTGATTAAGAATTGAGTCCCCAAAACAGACCAACTATCAATAACACTTCTCAAATATACGTAACCTGCTTTAAGAAAATATTACAGACAGTTGAGATTTTATTTAAACCGTTGATTTTCATGTAATTATCATAACTTTACGGAATCATTTTAAAAGCAAGGAAAAATATAAAACACGTATTCTTTGGAAGCAGACAAACTGGTATACCTCCATTAAGAAAAAAGCTTTTCTTGGTGGTAGAAATGAAAATAACTTTAAGGAATTATTCTAAAGGCAATGAAAAAAAAAATAAAACACGTATTCCATGGGAAGCAGACAAACTGGTGTACCTCCATTAAGAAAAAAAGCTTTCTTGGTGGTAGAAATAAAAAAGTGTTGCCCTTGTTTTTCAGCTTCGGTCAACAGTTTCCTGAATTACCTCAATTACCTGTATTTTCTTGGGACAACAATTTGACTGTTTCATATTTTTCAACAAATATTAAATGAAAATTCTGACATTTAAAAAAAAACCTATTAATGAAAGTTAGTATTTTTCTTTACCTTTATGCTCCCTAAATAGATCCACAGGAATAAAACAAGGATCGTATTTTTCTCCATACTCTGTGCTTGCATTCAGACTCTTTTCAAACTTATCACTATTATATCTACACAAAAATCGAATCACACCTACTATATAAGATAACGGAGAAAAGATGACCTTACGCACGGTCAGTTTCCCAATAACTCGTACCTGTGAACTGCGTCTTTTAACCTTTATTATTCATACTATAGGATGTAAAGAAAATGAAATAACATCCCACTATCTTAGATCTAGAGATAACAGAGGATTGGTGACCCAACATTCGATCAGTGAGTTTCCAAAAACCTAGCAAGTTATCACAGGTACAAAATATGAATGATATTTGTTCTTATTGTCATTCATTCTAGTTGTATATACATGCATAAACAATCAATTATGCACCTGCACTGCGCATCGCAAGTTTCACTAAAAATTGTAAACAATTGATTTCAACAAATACTATCAACTTGTCAGCCAACATTTTCCCATACAATATTTACAAACTTTCATACATTTCATTGTCACAGTGGGCATATGTCAGCATGTGAATACTACTAATTTGAACATAAGAAAACCGTTATATATAATATAGTTGATAGAACAGAAATAATACCCAAAACTCCAGTAAACAAGCATTGCCTTTCGTTCGACAGAATAGCGCCGTTAGACCAAGAAGTTAAACATGACATAAAAAACGCAATGTCATCAAACTACTGGTCATCTGTTTTGGACATCAAAAAGTATTCGATTCCAAAATGTCCTAAAAACGAACAGGCAAGACTGTAAATGCAGAGATAGGAACCATAAACAAACATGTCTAGGAAACAAATGCCAGAATGGTAAGCTTTAAAATAAACATTAGAATCTGTGTAAAATTATGGTTGAAAGCGTTAGCTTACAGCTACCACTATCACTATGGAATGAAAAAAAAACACTATTTGTGATTGGATCGACTTGTAAAAGAATGAAAACGGAGTTGATGAAGTGATGATAAAACTCGCAAAAGACTCATCAAGTGCAAGCACCAAAGGCGAGATAACAGTAAAACGTATTGCAATTCATGTATAGATTACAATACATTTGTCTACCATTCAATGACATTTTTATGATCAATGGTGTGAGGAGTGAATTCAAATATCTCAAAGCCGTTGTAAATGAAAATCAAGCAATTCAGTTCAATTACTGGATCCCACTTCTGAAAATCTAGAAGAACGAATCACAAAGCTAGAAAAGGATGTATATGTTTTAGGAGCTGTCGAAGGAAAACTAAACAGCAAAGAGGATTGTGTAAGTAATTTGGAAAAAAAAAACTTTTAAAAGAATCTAACAAAGAGATAATACGAAAGCACAGAAGGCTCATTCGAGATTCGAGGTTCAAAATACGAGATTTGAAATTCGAGACTCGAAATGCAAGATCTCGATTGACCAAACAAAAGCGGGTTCAACATTTGATTACTCCCCTTTATTATGATTTTACTATCAAGAAATCGTTGAATATATTTATAACAAATGAGTCATTTGATTAAATTACAATACAAGAAAGAGTGTTATATATATTAGAAGGAAATTTAAATAATCATTGGATTTTTGATCAGCAAGATATACTTCAATTTATATTATGGCTTCTTAAATATTAAATAGAATACATATATCAGGAGTATTATATATTTTTTGTATTGTCTACTTTGTTTACGGGGTTGATGACATAAAATAAAGTTATAAATAAGTGCCAAGTGTCTAAAAATTAACAATAACCCCAACCCTACCCACACTACCTGCCTATTTTTCCAAAAACACTGAAAATGTTACTTGTAAAACTGAAAGGCGGCGTAGTATTGATAAACAAAAATCGCGTTCGCTTTCCTGATAGAGGAAATACATAAAAATTAAGTATTTAATTACTTATCTTCATCTAAGGATTAGATTTCTTGAATTAATTAAAAATGATATATACAATACAGATTGGCAATATGAATTAAAATAAATGCCGCATTTATTTTATGTTATATCAAATAGTAGATGAGTCTAAATTAAATGCAGAACTATAGCGTTATGGTTTTATATTTTAGTCTCTGACCATATCGTTATGGCCGAAGACTAAAATATACTCGTGAAACCTTATAGCGCTACAGTTTGATTCAGCAGTCAAGTCTCACTGCACAAATGTATCCTTTATAAATGTAATGAAATATATACCCTTGAATTACTGTGCATTGTAAGGAAGATTCATATTTCATATCTAATTATAATCAAATACAATATTCTCCCTCAGCAATGATCTGATAAAAAAAGTCGACCTACTTGTTCCGCAAGTCAACAATAAGACCATATAATATTCCATATATACGTATTTACTATTTTGTTTAATGAGAAAAATAAGATTATATATGTATTTTTCAAAATGTAATCCAAATTTTATTTCTTTTTCGTTTTAATACATAAAACATTTTTTCTTGCATTATCATTTTAGCAAATGACTCATTTGTTATAAATATATTCAACGAATCTTGATAGTAAAAACATAACAAAGGGGAGTAATCAAATGTTGAACCCGCTTTTGATTGGTTAGTTTGGATCTTGAATTTTGAAACTTGAATTTCGAATCTCGAA